TCCTCAGAAGGAAGACTGGGCAATCTACTTCTGTAGAGATACCTCCTCGGAAACCCAAGGAGGGGTGGCTATGAGTTGAATTGACTCAACGGCAGTGAGTTTGGTTTTGGTTAAGATGGTTTTGTTTGTGCTTCACATTGTGTTCCCTCTATGCTCTGAATATTTATCAAGGAAAGTTCCACGAAATTGGGTGGGTGAAAACATACGGATGTGAAACCTTTAAACAATTTCATTTATGAGTCCCTGACCATCACAAGTTTTATTTGAATAAGGAAAGGCTACATGCTGTCCAGTCCATTCCCCACTGGGAAGCCAGAGATTTCTTAGGATAAGAGATAACACAACTGTAATAGGGAAAAGAGACCTCAGATTCAAACAGGTTCAACAGAGACATTTTTATTAAGTCTTGGACAGAACAAAGACAGTATCCAGAAGGAGGAAAACCATCAGCATGTACACAGTACAGAAAGCTGAATGGAGTCCACTGAGTCATGGCCGTGGGGCTCATTATGTATGATTGAAGGAAACAGAATCATCACAAAATCATGACTGATGGTGGATCGATTCATCACTGTTGCAGGTGGAACTACAGAAGCGAGGAAAAACCTGTGACTGGGATGCATACATAATTAAAGAGGGAAAAGTGTTACAGGATTAGTTCTGGGCCTTGACTACCTGGCTGGGTGGTGGTCTGGACAGGCTACCAAACAATACCAGACACTAACCTCAGTTTAAATCAGAAAAGGACTCACTCTGGCAAGTTCCCTAGTTCTCTGTGTAAGCATAATGTACTTTCAACCACACTCTTCCTCAAGGCAGACCGCCCCTCCCTAGGTTTATCCTGGAACTTGTCTGTGCAAGGCCACAGTGCTGGCTTAAGGGTCAGAAAGAAACCAAGTGGCATCTGAAACTTATGTCAAGCCTCAAAACAAAGGGCTCCCACTGTACGCCATGGCCTTCCACAAACCAGATGCTTTAGAATTTAAGCTCTAGTACACAGCACACTTTTACCCATAATTCTGTAAGTTCTAAATTAATTGTTTTATAACTTCTTTAAATGAACAGAAGTAAACATGCCTTAGGAGTCTGAATGAATGAAGT